GGAATTTATATATAATTTAAATATTTTATTTATAAAAATTTGTAACACTAATTTGGCCGGTATTGTGCATTACGTAGTCAAATTTCTCATTGCTGGTGCATTTGTCTGCCACCGTGACGTCAGCGACTTACCTTGGTGATGCTCTCTTTTTCTCTTAGCTGAGCGCGCTGCTACCATTAACGTTCTAATTTCTTCACCTCGTTTTTACACAACTCTCCTGTATATTCCTTTGTTTTTCCGTTCTTATTTAACGCCTTTAATATGTTAATGAAACCCAGAATTCATTAATCCTACAAGTACCTATTGGAAAGTACTTTATTGCTTTCTTGTAATGCTATTTTGTATAGAATTTGCACATTCACTATTTCATTCTGCACTATTCTCCAAATTGAATATACAGTTCTGCTTGCTTCGCTGCCTCAGTTCGCTTCATTCGATTTTTCATTTATTCGTGGCTGCTCCACATCAACTTCTCACATTTATTTGCACTTTTAAGATATCAATAAATCACCTCAAATGCATATATTTTCCGCGTATAACTTCATATTATTATTTATAAATGCATATGATTATCAGCAATTACCATTTTCTCAGCGCTTTAATTTAACATTTGGTTTTTCACTATACACATCCACTTTTTCACTATTTTTTTCCGATTTTTTTATTTTTCCTGGGAAAGCCATCTTGTTGAACGCTCAAATTTATACTGTCAGCGTTTCTTGATTGGATGGGCGATTTATTGCAGCGCAACGTCGTTGATGCGGTCTTTTTGCGTGCGCTGACTACAGATGGCTGTGTGTCAAACAACAGGGTTGATAAAATATCTATAACTGTTTAGAACTCATCTAATGTAAAGAAATCACAACTTCTACAAATAAAATTACCTTCAGTATTATCAACAAAAAAATTTAATTACAATATGTACAATATATTAAAATTTAGTTTCTTCATAAGTGTCATTATCTTAACGATTTCTTTCGAGTTAAAAGGTAGCGGTCATTGCCAATGCGACTCTGTTTCGTTCTCTCTGCTGGCTATCATTCGTGAGTTCTTCTTCTTGCGTTTGTATTTTGTGGTAGATTTTTTTGTTGTCTACTCTGTGCTTTGTCGTACAAGTCGTGAAAATTGTTATTTAAACTGAAATATCTGCATCAGTAAATTAAGTGAGAATTTTTTTTTTGTGTATTATAAAATGAATACGTTAGGTCCGAAAAAGGACGGAAGTCCTAATGTGGAGTTCTTTCAATCTCCAGAATCTTTACAAGGATTCGAAACAATCCGCCTATGGCTACAGAAAAATTGTAAAAAAGTAGGTACAACAACGCGAGTGTGATCAAAAATGGCGCTTCGTATGCTCATGCATAGATATTGATTTAACTATATTCATTAATTTTTGTTGTAGTATTTGGCTAATAATACCGAAACAATTACAAGAGAATCGTTGGCGCAATTATTAGTACAATTTCTACAATATGTGGAGGCGAAATTGGGTAAAAATGCACAGGAGCCGCCGGCAACACGTATTCCGGTAAGTGGCCTGCATACAGGGTAACCACAATCTTTTACAACTAAATTTTTCTCCTGTTTTTATTTATATCTTATAGATGCGCTTATTTATGGATTTTAAACCAGGTGGTGGGCTGTGCATCATATTTAGCACAATGTTTCGATTTCGTGCTGAACAGCGCGGCAAAAAATTTGATTTTTCTGTAGGTAAAAACCCACCGCGTAAAGATCCAAACATACAACTACTTATTGATATCGAACAAGCACTCGTCGAGGCAAATCTTTACCGCATTCATTACATATACATACGACCGGAAGTAAGCAAGGAATTGGCTCAGAAGTTAAGAGATATATTAAGTACTAGACGTGTAGAGATCGTAACCGACGAAGAAGAAGCTACACACATTATATACCCAGTTGTTGATCCACATCCTGACGAATATGCACGTCCCCTTTTCAAACGTGGTAATCATGTAATGTTACATTGGTATTACTTCCCGGAATCGTACGACTCATGGGCTATTAACTCATTTGATTTACCGGATTATGTACCGGAAAACCCGGAACAACCAGCAGAATGCTGGCTTGTCTCAGCATCTTGGATTTTAGATCTAGAACAATATAACGAATGGATGACTGAAGAAGACTATGAAGTAGATGAAACGGGCAAAAAGAAAACGCACAAACATCGTATGTCGGTTGATGATATAATGTCGTTAGGTACAGATGAGAAGAAACGAATGTCGGGTGGTAGTAGTTCAACTACCAAGCAAAAACGGCGCCGTTCACCTTCTCCAAACACATCCAAACCTGGCAAACGCAAACGCTCTCCTGCTGTACTACATAAAAAAGCTCGTAATGACGAGGATGATGAAGATTTGACTCGCGATATGGATGATCCACCTGCAGAGCCAAATGTGCAAGAGGTAGTGAAATCATCAACGCTACAATCAACTGCTAGTCCAGCACCGGGAGGAAAATCTCGTGCAGACAATGACATGATGCCCATTAAAGGTAACTTCATATCTTTAAATACTAGACTGAAATGTTCGATTCTCTGCAAGAACAAATATACAAACATAAATGTACCCAAATTTCAGGCGGAACCATGACCGATTTGGATGACGAAATGACGGGAGGTAGTGCAGTTCAAGCTCTATCTACAGGCGATGGTGAAAATTCTCAAACTGGTAAAACTAGTGATAATAGCAATACACAAGAGTTCTCTTCCTCTGCTAAAGAAGATATGGAGGACAACGTAACTGAGCAAACACACCACATCATTGTACCCTCATACTCTGCATGGTTTGATTACAACTCAATTCATGTGATTGAAAAGCGCGCCATGTCGGAATTTTTCAATGGCAAAAATAAATCGAAAACCCCCGAAATTTTTATGGCCTATCGTAATTTTATGATTGACACTTACAGGTATTAAATTTAAAAAAAATTTGTGCATACATCGAATAAATTTTATTTAATTAGATTAAATCCTACCGAGTACTTAACCAGCACTGCCTGTCGCAGAAATCTTGCTGGAGATGTTTGTGCTATTATGCGTGTGCATGCATTTCTAGAGCAATGGGGTCTCATTAACTATCAAATAGACGCAGAGTTACGACCTACACCCATGGGACCACCGCCAACTTCTCATTTTCATATATTATCAGACACCCCTTCTGGTTTGCAATCTTTGAATCCACAAAAAACACAGCAGCCATCAGCAGCTAAAGCTTTGCTTGATTTGGATAAGCCAAAAATTAACAAAGATGGTAAAGAAGTCTCAATAGAAGGAGATAAACCGGCGTTGTTACCGGGTGGCATAAATATTAAAACAGAAGTTTTGGAGAATGGTACCAATACAGGCCAACAATTCGGACTGAAACTTGATCAATATGCAAAGAAGCCTGCGGCAATGAAGAATCGAACAGCAGCTAGTATGACGCGTGAATGGACAGATCAAGAAACGTTGCTTTTACTCGAGGGTCTCGAAATGCATAAAGATGACTGGAATAAAGTTTGTGAACATGTAGGAACGCGCACGCAAGATGAGTGCATACTGCATTTTCTTCGACTACCTATTGAGGATCCCTATTTGGAGGATGATGGAGGATTTTTGGGTCCATTAGGTTGTCAACCCATACCATTTAGTAAATCTGGCAATCCTATTATGTCTACGGTGGCGTTTTTAGCTTCAGTCGTTGATCCTCGCGTAGCAGCAGCTGCTGCAAAGGCTGCCATGGAAGAATTCGCCGCCATAAAAGTATTCACATTAACATTAATTTAAGTAACAGGTTACAATATTTTATTTTAGGACGAAGTGCCCGCTACAATAATGGATAATCATATGAAAAACGTGGAGAARGCGTCAGCTGGTGGAAAATTCAATCCATCTTTCGGATTATCCAACACTGGCATTGCCGGCACCGGGGCCGACAAAGAAGATGAGGAGGCTCATACAGTAGGATCTGGGAATGCGACCATGTCAGTTAACACAGGTGCGGTAGATGAAGAAATGAAGGATGTTTCGAAAAAAGGTGACATATTTTAGTTTTTGTTGTTTTTATATTATTTCATTTAATTTCTTCTAATTACTTGACATTTTACAAATTTCACTCTAATCTTTCGGTAAAAATTTGTTTTCTATTTTTTCGGTTTTATGTTTACTCACCAATATTTGCATCACGCTCAACCTTTTGCTATTGTTCTTATGATTTTTTTCGGGTTTCTTCAAAATCTTGCATGATCAATATGAAYTTTTTACATTACAACATATTCAACAAAATTACAGACGAAAATAAAACACATTCAAACGAGGCTAATAAGACAGAGAAGCATAATAATGAAACAGAATCTGAAAAGAAACCAGAAAATGATTCCAGAAGTACTATTATATTACATTTACAATATTCTATATATATACTTCCCTCAATTTCACTTTCGGTTTCCTTTATAGATGGTACAGAGAGTAAAATTGAAGACACTAATGATACAGATACAACGTCAAAGGATCCTGATATCGTCAAGCAACAAATATTCAACGAGGCTAACGTTCAAACCGCTGCAGCMGCAGCATTGKCTTCAGCAGCTGTAAAGGCCAAGCACTTAGCAGCCTTGGAGGAGCGCAAAATTAAATCCTTAGTCGCATTACTTGTGGAAACGCAAATGAAGAAATTGGAAATAAAATTACGACATTTTGAAGAGCTGGAAACAACAATGGAACGTGAACGTGAGGGATTAGAATATCAGCGCCAACAGCTTATAACTGAACGTCAACAATTTCATTTGGAGCAATTGAAAGCTGCAGAATTTCGTGCACGTCAGCAAGCCCACCATCGTCTACAATTAGAACAGCAATGGCAGGGAACTACGGGCGCAAACGCCGCAGGCAATGGTACACTTGCTGGTAATTCAAATGCAACACTCGGTGGTGCCAGTAATGCGCCGCCGACACAAGGACACCCAATAGTAGGTGGGGCTAGCAGCGTGACCGCCGGAGGATCGCTAGCAACAAATGTTAGTAGTGTTGGATCTCAAAGCGCAGCAGCTGCGGTTCAAGGTGGTAACACACAAACATCTATTGGCAGCACCCCACAACCAGCTACTGCTGTGCCGCTGACTTTACCTGCAGCTATCGCGTCGTCTGCACAACAACAACCGCCAACTCCAATGGGTTTGTGATAATCATTAATTGTTTAGTCATTAGTAAATAAAACGTTAACCAACTTTAATCCACAGATACTACCACAAATGCTGCTGTAATCCCGACAACTGGCGTAGAGGGAGCTACAATTACGGGCCAGACAATTTTGTCACCGCCGAGCGGGTCAACAAGCGTGCCATCTGCAAATGCACAGCCGGCAAATATACAACCAAGTGGTCTGTCTCAAGCAGTACCACCCCCTTAAATTATACACAATTTCTCCCATGAAATTCCGATAACACTATATAATCTACATTAAGTTATTGCTTACAAATACTATATAACATTATGTTCTCATCGTAAATGATTTTTATGTGTTCTTTATGATTTTTAATTTTAAATAATATTTTATCAAGCATGCAACGTTTGCATCTAGAAATGATGAACTACAACATTTTGGTGTCAAAAACATACGCACAATGCTTTGATAGGTATACATATAATCGCCCGGTAGCAGGTAAATTTACTACTTAAAGA